AATATACAATATATGCACTGCTGCCGTCTATCCTTTCATCCATCCTCTCTCGCTCTCTCTCTCTTTCACACACACACACGCACAGCTCTCTCTCTCTCTCTCGCTCTCTCTCTCTCTTTCACACACGCACGCACAGCTCTATCTCTCTCACACACACCTCTAGCTCTCTCACACACACACACACACACACACGTGCGTGCGCACACACACACACACGTGCGCGCGCACACACACACACACGTGCACACACGCATACAAATTCCCTCTCTCTCTGTTGCATGCACACACACACTCGACAATCAGCAGAGACTACCGTTGCGCAATCATGCGTGTACTTGTCGCAAGATCACTGTGTGAGATGGATGTCCGGACGCGTAGGCTAGCGGCTCCTCGTCCGGAACCGGTCGCGTAGCCACGGCCTATATGTTATGTCAGTCAGAGGTCGGCAGGTAGCGGAATTTATATTGTGATGTAATACCCCGACACCCCCCCCCCTAAGCTAAAGTAATGGCAACATGATTACTTGATATATTTAGTGTTTGTTGTATTGAGATATATTATATATAGTTATACTAAGTTATAGTAAAGTTACTAAGTATACTAAGTTATATTTATATTGTTAATACTAATAGTTTAGTAATACTAATACTAATTAATAATAATATTAAAATTTATTGCAAAAATGGACCAAAGTTCAGCTGGTGCCGCTTTGCTCAAATTCGCCCCTGCGACATCATCAGACTGCTGTGACTGTAAGTGCAACCTTGTATTTTTGCCAGGTCCACTTACACTTTTAGTTATATTACTATTATTAGTAATAGTGTTTATAGAGTCTAGCGATGCCAAAATTTAACACGGTAAACAATGTTCAGTGTTTATTACCTGAACCATGGGGGCGGCGACGTCACTTTAGACGTCACGGTTAATTGTCCAATGACGCGTAGCGTTACAACTTAAGCATGGTCCGTCATCACACTCACGGGTTTCCCCAAAATGTGTGCATCGCAGGTTTTTATGTACCGAAAATTGTCGGGATTGTAATATGTGGGCAAAAAACCGTAAACGGAATGCTTATCTTCTGGCAAATTTTATACGATTTCCCGAGCAAGCAGATCGGTTCTTTACGTTAATGTCAATACAGCGCCACCTTTAGGGTAACATTCCCACTATTATCAGGAGTGTATAATACAACGAGAGAATAATATAACCACTGATCTCTATAATAAAATACGGTTATTTATAGAGATCAGTGAATATAACAGACTCTCCTGCTGCCATTATGTCATTGAGAGACTGTGGGAGCACAACCACAGGCACTTGGGCCGTTTAAATAATGAAATGATGACAAAAAACATTATTTACTACCAAAGTCTCAATGTTCATGTACTCCATATTGCCAAATAATTCTAAGTGCTGCTCAAATGCTAATCTAATTCTATTTATTGTCTAATTCTAAGTGCTGCTCAATCTAATCACATGCACACCTCTTTCTGTACGCTTCCGAGCAATGTGACATAAGCTGTGATATTAGAGTGATATAGGCTGTGATAGAGTGTCTCAGTGTGCGATATAGCCATAAAGGCTGTGATAGAGTATGTGATATAAGCTGTAATAGAGTGTATGGTATAGGCTGGAATAAAATGTATGATATAAGCCAGGGCTGCCAACTCTCACGCATTGACCGTGAGACTCACGCATTTTGACCAAATCTCACGCTCTCACGCTGATCTTACAATATCTCACGCCACAGCAAAAAAATGCTGAGATATCTTACGCATGAATATCTCTTCATGAATAAACGCTGAAATATCTCACGCACAGCAAAAAAATCTTACAATATCTGAAAACAGTCACTTTAGTATGCACCAATTAAATTGCACAAATTGAAGTTATAAAATGCAAAAGCTCCCTACCGAGGGAGGGGAAAAACCCCCTCCCACATACAACCCCCCCCCCTCCTCGGTCGCTTCGCTCCCTCGCATCTCAGTCTCCCCTATCACCCAATGTTGTCAATGTTGGCAGCCCTGTATAAGCTGTGATAGTGTGTTGCTCCCCCCCCCCCGCTATCTAATGGGTGACACGCTAGCGAGGTGATATCATAGATATAGAATGAAGATATATCTTCATTCTATATCTATGGTGATATCAGGAGTAGATAATATGGAATTCCCTATTATCTACTCCTGGTGATATCGAGGTGATGGCGAGGTGATACGCCACGATTTTAATAATCCTAAAGGAGTACGAACTGGAAATATCATTTACAGCCATAGAGAGCCTCGAAACAAACAAGTCAAACAAATTGAAAACTAGAGATAAAACAAAAATGAAGATGATAAACATTGAAACATACGGATTGAAGGAATAATTATATGAAATAATTATCATTTGCCGACTCGTGTTTTGCATTTAAATGTAAAACTTGCATGATTGATCTCAAAGGTTACCGGTACTTTAGAAATAACTTCAGTGACGGCAGGTGTAATAGATGTACCGGTAATAAGATTATGAAAAAAGACTTGGAACATTTATATAAATGTGATAGCTATAATAAATATAAAGATGGAGAACAAATAGAAGGCTGGAGAGGGGACACCCACGGGTTATTGAAACCAGCGTTAGATTATGTGCTGAAAATTCTGGTTATTCGAAACACTAATATTTAGAGAATTAGAGGCAGCATTAATCTCCTTTTTCTCTAGATAATCCCTGCAAATCGTTGAATCGAGTGCCTTGTGAAATACAAGAGAGGGTGCCAAGATACAAGATACAAGATACAAGAGGTTGCGATAGTGGGGCAAGGACCCCGACTAATAATTTGGTGTATGGTTCACACTATAAAAAATCGAAAATGTTTACCTCACTTATAAAACAAGAAATGCGGATGTTTCACTTCTTACAGTGTTTACTGATATTCATCATTCAATATCGCAGATTCTATAAACACATAGCAACTAGAGTAGCTACACAATACACAGTTAGCAAGAGAACGCACACAATGAGAAATGACAGGTGGCTTTATACAAATACATTCAGATAAAGATCGCGAATTTGTCGAGTGGGAAAAGAAAAACTGACGGTTTAAGCCGTTATAAGACCATTGATTGATCATTACATACTGCAGTTATACTGGACCACTGATTCGCCATTACACGCTGTTACGACCACTGATTGACCATTACATGCTGTTTTACGACCACCGATTGGTTAATAGCGACAATAATTTGATGCCAAGAGCATAACATAGCGGTTAAGTGAATTATATGATTATGAATGTCATCCTGGCATGCGGTACATCGCGTGGGTAATGGCCCGGAGCGTGACATGGCACGGTGCATGGCATGGCACAGTGTTTGGCATCGCATGGTGCATGCAACGTATGGCAATGCACGTTGCATGCACAGATGTTTTAACCTTACAAATCACGCTTCTAGACAAGACTAGACTGTTTTCATCACATCTACAACACCCGTACATGGATGCATGCACGGTACTAATAGACCCCTCACCAACACACTGCCGAAATACATTCAAATACCACCCCACCTCCCCGACCAATATCATGAATGCACAATCATGATTGAATAACAATTCCTACACTACACTCGACAATACATAAATTTACATAAAAATTCCAAATCTCCTGCTGTCCTTTTGCATCACACATAGCTTCCTATCCTGGGTAAATGTGACATGCCATCTTACAACAGTTCTTGAAGTGTTTACCCATTTGTGAGAGCCAGCAAGTTTTATTCGCTGCCACACGGGCTTGTAAGCGGTTGATGTTTATTCACGATCCTGTTCAAAAACTGCATGCACATTTACAGGAACAAAGGTTTGCAGTAGGCGCAGAGTCACAGCGAATCTTTATGCGTCAAAAATACTGTGGTGATTTTTACATCTGTACAAGTTGACTATCCAACGGAGCTGACTTATTTCTAACAAACAATGATTTCAAAACTCATAATACATTGTAAAAAAAACATGATGCAGTCTTACACTCTCACTTACAATTCTCACCTACACTCTTATACTCACGAATGTAGTCTTAGACAGATTTTGATCTGAGACGGTCTCACCACACCCTCGTGCAGTCTTACGAGGAAATGAAGTGATCACTTTCCTTAGACTACCTCAGACATAACCAATCCTTCGCAGTAGTTACGGTTTAAGCGATGGCCAATCTTGCAGCACAGTTACTTGGCTTTAACAGCAACACTTATAAACTGGCCCATCTCTCACGGCATGGCAGCGCTTATCCTATATGGGGTCGCATCGTGGCAACTTTCTGGTTTTCATAAATACTTTCTCTCAAATTTATCCACCAGAGAGACCAATTCTTGAAAGATCTGCAAAGAAAAGTCCATGAAAATCAACATACGCTTGAAAGGTAGTGAACTAACAGCAATAAATGTCAATGATTAAGTAGCAAGGAGTCAAGACAGGTTAGCAGAGAGGGGAGACTATGTAGGAGCGAGATGATACATCATACTGGGTCGTAGAGTAGAATCTCTTTAGTAGATAATAGACTTCGCAGCAGAACGGAGAGATTTTGTAAAAGAACGGTGACATTACAGAGCAGACTATGTTACAGTAAACATGTGCACATCAATAGAAATCATGCACATGCATATTAATGCTGAGAGGGTCTATGTCCCCCAGGGTACTATCGGAGGGTACCCTGGGTACCGTTCGATATATCGGAACGTACCCTGGTACTATCTAATATGCCGGACCGTACCTCGCCTACTCCACTAACGAGTCTAGGGAGTCGCCTACGCCTACTCCCTAACCCTAACCCTCAGCCTAACCATATCAGATAGTTACCAGGGTACATTCCGATATATCGAACCGTACCCAGGGTACCCTCCGATAGTACCCTGGGGGACATAGACCCTATGAGCCCCATTAATGCCTATAATACATGTAATTCTACACAAGTACCTGGTTCACCCAAACTCTGTTCTGTAGACAAGTCTCCAATATTTCTCTGGGTTCAACATTAGGGTTCTCTTCCTTCAGTCCCTCCACCTGGATAAACACACGGCCGTGAATTCATGCCATGACGATAATATCAAGTATAAAAATCTTTCCCTTAGCAAATCCTTGTACCTGCATAACAATGTCTACCATGGTATACCGACATGTGTGCTTTTCAGACCACAGAGAAGCAAAGGTGATCATTGATCATAATCTTGACACGATATTAGCGTCATTTCTGACACTGAAGTCCAAGTATGTTCAACTACAGTGACAGAGAACATTCCACTACATGACTCTACTATATTGGTTAGCTAAGTAAGTTGGTGCACCAACCTTGTCCAGACAGTGCCGGAACAGTCTGTAGTGAATATGTGTGAGAGAGTGTAGTACCTCCGAGAGGTCCGTACATATCGTACACATGTGAAACTTCTGTAATGATAGACAGGTGGATAGATAGACAGACATACAGACAGATAGACTGATATAGATAATAGTTGTTTTCATAACAATTTTGCAAAAAAGTGACCATATCGGGCAATGTAAAAATTTTAATATTAATAGTCATATGTACACACTAATATTTCAAAAGAATCTGCAATAAAAGTACACGGAATGAATGTTTGCGACTAAAAAGATGTCAAATTAAAGATTGTTGTGCGAAATTGCATCCGTAAAGTTAGAAACACATTCTTTTTCCTAAGAAATAAAAAACAAAACCCAAGAAAGATCGCAAACAAATACAGTGCATTTAAACTATAAATCACGTTTCACATCATTCCTATCCGCATTGCGGGTGCATGCATTTGCTGCCTGTAGATGGCGCTGTGTAGCAACACCAGCACTATTTTTATCCTAGCTTTGCAACTCCAGAGAGCATTACACACACGATGCATCAGCACTCGAAGAAACTCAACTGGTATCGTTTCAACGAGACACAACATTCATCCCCTCACCTGCGGTGGCTTTTGAAACGTCAAGGGGAGAAAGGTGTCCTTCTTGTACGTGTTGCCGTAGAGCTCGATATATCTGCTAGCGGGTCGCGATATCACCTTGCACGCTTGGCAAGGCTCCAACGGATTGTCGCCTGGCGTCTGTGCAAAGTACGGATGAGCGGCTAGCGCCCCCTAAAGACAAAGAGCAGCAACACTGATTATATGCAGACGACAGAGGCGATTGCTGGCGAAGTTACTGCTTGGTCACGTATGACTGATACCAAGTCATTGCTAGATCGCACTGTCACTACTTAGTGACACTGTAACGCCACTCGTTTCAAGGGCGTTACAAGGGCGAGAGTTGCTCTCCCCCCTCCCCGACACGACACGGAGGTATTGATTGAACAGAGTTGCCCCTGGCAACCGAGGCAATCAATAGCTCCGTGCAAGCCGGGCTGCGCCGCTGCCGCTGTGCCGCTGCCGATGCCCGCGCCGGCCGGCTGGGGATTAACTTGGAGATTAACTCCGGAGGAACCAATTGGCCGGTGCGGACGTGTCGTGATTAGCGACGGTAGCCTCAACATAGAGGCGAAACCGTGGCGATATGGCGCGCCTGATGCGATGTGACTTTAGAACTAGTCAGGCGTGAAGTATCGCCATGTGGTGGGATTAACAACTTAGATGCGGCAAATGTGGCATGAAAACCCTATCAACGCCAAAGGCAGCGGCCATATTGAACACTCGCAGCGCGCCGGCGCCGTTAGGGGTTGCCACCTCCTGGAGGGTGGTGGCACAGAATAGCGCGTCTTTGCCGTTAGGTGCCGCCGCCATCCAGGGCGATAGTGGCGAGACCCAGCATGCGCGAGTGCCTGCGACGCTGCGATTGGCGCGTGCGTGAGTATGCGCCGCGGGCGTGCCTGCAGACTATATAAGCCGCGAGCACGGAAGAATCGAGAGATTCCCCATAGAGATTCCCCCGAGAAGGACAGCGGCTCCTCGTCCGAACGTAGGTGTCGGACGAGGAGGCGGAGGAATGCTCTCTCGACACCAGACACGACCGCTTGTACTTCGTAACATTGTAACAGTTCTCAATCTATAGTAAAGCAACATTAGTCATGGTAGCTAACTGGCTTCATCTTGTCTATGGCTTCTCTTATCTATGTATTGGCGAAACATAACATAGCAAAAACAACAATAGTACAGTAACGTCAAACTAAACGTTACAACACTAAGTCACTGCATGGTCAGTGTATCAGTCACACTAAGTCACTGCTAGGTTACAGTCTCACTGATTGGTCGATGCTTGGTCCCACTGACTCAATGCTGCGCGACTGTGCGGCCATTGCTTAGTCACGCCGGGGGTTCTGCCCAGGATTTTTTAGTGCCGGGCGCATCTAGTTGCGACGAAGTCGCAAGATGCAAGTGCCGTAGGCGCGAAGCCAAAACGGGAAATTTTAGATTTTGGATAGTCTGAAACTCAATTTCCTGCATTCTGAGCAATAAAAAGCCCATATATCAGACCTTTTTTTTTATATCAAAAATTAGTGCCGGGCGGAGATATATAGTGCCGGGTGGCAACCGCCCACCGTGGGCAGAACCCTGCACGCCAAGGGCGTCGCACGGTCGACTGCTACTCGCCTCGTAGTTGCTGTTACTCCAGTTGACCTTCTTCTGCATGAGCGTCTTCTTATCATTGGCGATGGCCTCGACCTTCTTCAGCGTCGTGAGGAAGTATTCGTCTGCAGAAATAAACACCGGTAGTGACATCTGTTGGCAGGACACAACAATCGATCAACAACATAGCTACTTACTTAAACAAGCACGCACGCACGCACGCACGCACACAAGTACGCACTCACACATTATTTTTTCTACCATGACTCAAAGAGAGAGGAGGAAAGGCGTGAGAGAGAGGAGGCAAGCAGGGAGGGAGGGAGAGAGGGAGAGAGAGAGAAAGAAAGAGAGAGAGAGAGAGAGAGAAAGAGAGAAAGAGAGAAAGAGAGAGAAAGAGAGAGACTTACCATTTTCCTTCCTAACCTCCAGCAGGAATGAATGATCAAGAACCTGGCTGAGCAGTATTTGTGTGTAGACTGTGAATGTGTCTCTCAACGGATTAGCTTCAAGTGCCAAGGTGTCAGCATCAGTGAGTGTGGGGAGTTCCCTAAAGATAAATCAAATCTTATACAGCATTCAACCAGTCTCATATGGCTATCTTTTAGCCATCAAAAAAGTCTTCCGCAATGGTAAATCATGCCTTACATAATGCTAACTAAACTACTTATTGAACAGAAGTACTATTTACTTTTATTAGTTTTCTTTACTTACTATAGAGTATTAAGGATACTCTCAAGGTTTTAAGCAAAATTTTACCGATTTTTCATTTTCAACTTTATTCGATGGCTAAGACTATGTGCCACCTCTGTATATGCTCATTTCTCCATATAACAGTACATGTGAACTTTTAGAGCGTTTTGATTGCCCGCGTACACGTGTAGTGAAGTGAGCAGCAGCTGACGTCACTGATGACGTCAGAGACATGATACAACCAGAATTTTTATGATATTCACTACGCCAGTATCATTCAGCATCAACCTTCCTACAGCTGTCATCTGCCAGTGATAGTTGAAATTCCCGCGTGACCGAAAATAGCCTCGTTTCCCTTGTTACACACCTTGCATTTAGGAGCTTGTTTGTTGTCACATAGCTTAGTAACGGCATGCAGTACACATCGTACACGCGTTTTGCATGAAAGTGCGGTGGTAACCTCGTAATTTCTCACAATTTCTCAAGGTGCATGGAACATATTACCAATTAAAGGAGTGGACACACTAGGCGATTTTTCATGCGATCGAGCCGGCCGACCGAGCCTGCCGGCTCGATCGCATGAAAAATCGCGTAGTGTGTCCAGTGAGTCGCGGTCGATTTTCGAGTCGGCCGGCCGAGTCGCCCGATTCAAACATGTTTGATAATTATTTGAGCCGGCCGGCTGCAATCGCCTAGTGTGCCCGGGTCTGCGATTGAGCCGGCCGATTGTACAATTCATCAGCCAATCAGCGTGCTGAAAATCCACAGAGTCACCTGACTCAGTCGCGTAGTGTGTCCACAGAGTCGCCCGACTGAGCCGGCCGGCTCGATCGCATGAAAAATCGCGTAGTGTGTCCACAGCTTTAGTGGTGTCAGTTAGTCATGGATATGTCGCAGTAAGTACTAACAGTAGATATTTCTCATACGTTCACCCATTTTGCACACAGGCGGTCGATCATTGTGAAAAATAGAAAAACGCTGATTTCTCCGTTTCAATTTCTGACATAGTAGCCGATGTATAAATGGATATTTCTCTGTGATTACAACTCTGATTAATTTAATTTTACACTCGTTTTAATGGTAACATATTGCTGTAAAAAAGCGCGTCAGGGATTGTTATTAAGTGCCGTATTTTATTAATTATGCCTCTTTATTCGCTAAAATTTTCAATTCTAACAACTTGATTTTTATAAAGTTTTTTTCATTTTTCTCAGTAAATATGAAACTTAAAGAAAAATCCTGATGCGCTATTTTGGTACATATTGTGCTTAACCTGTGGCGAAAATTTTGCTTCCTCACTCTTTGTGGTAATTGAGAAATATCCAAAATACCATTTTTACATAAAAATTCAAAATTTGTGTGGTAACATAATTAGGTGCTGGAAATTTCATGATTTTTTTTTGGCTTGAGCATAGAGATATATCTCCTCTATAAATAAAACGTGTGATTGATTCGATTCATTCGTCAATAAACATTTAACATTCATTAGAGCAATACTCGTGCAAAAGGTTGAGAGTATCCTTAATGGAATTATTTGTTTTATTAAATAAAAGTGAGTTTTTTCATACTGTCCTCTCTTATCTACATTCGTTTTTAGCAGTCAACCCAGAGAGATGTTTCCATCACGCTTTCATGCATGCATGCATCTACCCATCCACCTGTACATCTATCTACTCACCCATCCATCTATCTAATCTATCTACTAAGCACTAACTCCTTTTAAGCACAGTAACTGCGCAGCACGGTTTTCCTTTACAGCGGCCATGGTTACCACAGCGCCCGCTGGCAGAAAGACTTACTGAGTGTAGAAATCCTCGACTGCCTCAATGACCATGTTGATGCAGGATGGTGTCTGCTTGAGGATTTTCACCTTCACATCCTTGTAGCTGGAGGGAGATGTGTCGGGCCAGCACGAGTACTGCAAGAAAATGATCGCACGGTCATGAGTGAACGCACGTCCTTCTCACGTGTATTGGGTGGACTAGTATACGTTAGCAGTAAAAGCATTCCGACTGTTCACTTCGTACATTAGCACAAGTTAAAAGTGCCGGCAATCGGAGAGCAACTGCCTACGACTGGTGCGTAGACTTCATGAGAACAGAATTGCATGATGCACCACCATCGCTCGCAGACCTGGCAAATGTTTTTACAGATATAATCGGCGTTGTACTCCTAGGGGCAGTCGTTATCAGACGTCTACGCACATCGTACGTCGACGACAAGATTGAATACTATCATAACATATCGGTACGTTTTAAGTAATGTTACATTTGAATATTACGATTAAAATGTTTCTGACGATGGTTTGCGGATTTGGAGGCGTAGGTAGGTAGGTGGTCGGTCGGGTACTTACGCTAGGTGTGCCCTTGTAGAAACCCTTCGGCCGGTCGTCGCAGGGCAGGAACTTATGGAGAATGTCACCTTCTACCCGCCAGAGGGTGCAGTCCGGACTGTCAGCGTCGCTCTTCAGTACGATAAAGCTTCCCTTCTGCATGACGAGAGCAAAGGAGAGTGAGTGAGAGGGAGAGAGAGAGAGAGAGAGAGAGAGAGAGAGAGAGAGAGAGAGAGAGAGAGAGAGAGAGAGAGAGAGAGAGAGAGAGAGAGAGAGAGAGAAAGAGAGAGATACAGATAGAGAGTGAGCAACTCAGTTACCAGTAACAGATTCCTGTCCAACACAAACATCCTGCGGTCACTACAACTAGACTAACTCCAGAATGAACGTTCAGGTTTAAAATAGAGGCGAGACAACCTCGCTCGTTAATATTCTTCATCAGGGTATAATATTCTTGATTATAAGTAAGAGAGAATAGATAAACCTTGAATTTCTTGATAAACGCATCTTCAGTGGGTTGTTGCGCAGGCACGGTAGACCGACGTTTCTTCTTTGATCTAAATGTTGAGCATATAAATTTTTTTACCATACACTCTTGGATTGTGCTGTTCCAGCAATCAACCGTACACGTAAGTTCATGCAAGCGCACACATGTGTGCATGTGTGTATGAGCGATTGGTTAACCACATACATATGCATGCACATAAAAATTTGAGTGTACACATGCACGCACGCAGGCATGCTGCACACACGCAGGGAGGCACGCACGCACGCATGCAGGTTGCAGGCAGGCACGCATGCAGGCTGCACACAGGCTGCACACACGCAAGCACGCACACAGGCTGCACACAGGCTGCACACACGCAAGCACGCACGCACGCATGCAGGGTGCACACACGCAAGCACGCACGCATGCATGCAGGCTGCACACATGCAGGCACGCACGCACGCACGCAGGCTGCACACACGCATGCAGGCACGCAGGCTGCACAACATAGCAGGCATTGCACGCGCACCTGCACGCAGGCAGGCTGACGACCGCGGCGGCAGAGGCACGCACGGCCGCGCGAGGCTGCACATCACGGCATAGGCACGCACGCACGCACGCACGCAGGCCGGGCAGGCCTGCAGCACACTGCAGGCACGCACGCACACCATGCACGCGCGGCTGCACGCACTACATGCACGGCAGGCACGCATGCAGGCGCTGCACGCACACCAGGCACGCAGGCTGCACGCACACGTCGCACGCTACGCAGGTTGACGCACACATGCACAGCACGCGATGGCCGGCCACGCACTCACGGCTTGCATGGCTGAGCGCACGCACATGCAGGCGCTTGCACGGCGACGCACACAGTGCATGCACACCACGCATTGCATGCAACGACCGCAGGCGCTGCACGCGAGGCGCACGCGGACGCACGACGCAGTGGCTGGCACGCACGACGCAGGCTGCACCAACGCATGGCACAGCACGCAGGCGCTGCCAGCACGCACGCACGACGCAGGCTGCATCGCACACATGCACAGCTACGCAGGGCTGCCACGCACACACGCACACACGACGCAGGCTGCACGCACGCACGCACGACGCAGGCTGCACACACACATGCAGGCACGCAGGCTGCACACACGCAAGCACGCACGCACGCACGCAGGCTGCACACACACATGCACGCAGGCTGCACACATGCAGGTGTAATATTGCGAGGGAGAGCAATCGCACAGATACGAGTTACGTACTTGGCTGCTGATTGGCGACCATGTTGCTGCTTTGGCTTCCTCTTTCCATCACTAAACTCCGACTCCGAATCCGATTTCATCTTCACATCTTCATCGGCCTCTGCCTCCTCTTCACTTCTCTGTGGCAATGAATAAACGTTTGTATAACGAATAGACATCTCATCCACATTTCAACACTTCTCCTCCATTCACGCACACATGCACGCATGCAAGCATGGACGCACACGCGCGCGCACGCACGCACGCACGCACACATTTTGTCTTACATTTTGGTGATTTCAAGTCCAAATCACTTTGCTCAAATTTTTTTAGCTGCACTATACAAGCTGTGCAATGTATGTGAGCATTTTGTGCAAGCACAATTTTTAATCGAATAGTGCTTTACACCAATCGCCTAACAGTTGAAGATGAAGTCATTGCATGAGTAAGAACATACTTCAGCGGCTGTCTGCATGACCCAGTCAGGATCCCGATCAGGACTTTTGACCAATGTTTCGGCTTCAGGTTCGTTATAGTTTAAACCGTCACCAGTATCGCCGACTGTATCATCAGCATCGTCATCCTCTATGCTGCCTAGAATGGACAAGAAAGCATGCTTAACGTGAAATCTACGCAGCTACACGCTGTTACATTTACATATGAACAGTCATTTTACAATTGTTACACGACCAAACGATTGCAGATACGTTTCTATGTAAATATTAGAAATATATTTAGTTTATATTTTTTCAATTATATTTATTCTAAATAGAATATCAGACAAGCATGATCACAAGCCGAGTATTTATGCCATCTGGCAAGAAATGGAATCAGTCATCCCCTTTTATTGCAGTCGCAGGTGGAGGAGTAAGGAAAGAGTAGAGAGGGAGGAGCGAAGTCTGGGAGCTTTACTCACTACCCTTCCTCTTCCGCTGCTCCTGCTTCTGTTGCACAGCCATCTTGCACTTCCGCGCTGACAGCACACGCTTCGGTGCGGACTCGGCGCGGCACGCGCGCTTCGCCCGCTTGCAGTGCCCTCTGCTGTGAGATTCTCCCGTGCCTTTTTTCTTCTTCGCACACGGAGACCAGTTGTCACTCTCTGCAAAAAAACAGCAATTACGTCCTGAGCATGTCTGGTGTGATGGAGAGAGTACATATCACCTCTAAGCACAGACCAGTTGCGATATAGCTCATGATAGAGAAAAATAGACAGAGCTATATCTTATAGTAGAAAAAGATAGACAGAGCTATATCTTATAGTAGAAAAAGATAGACAGAGCTATATCTTATAGTAGAAAAAGATAGACAGAGCTATATCTTATAGTAGAAAAAAGTGTAAACAGAGCTCATGTAGTTACGTATACATTTGGGACAAACACAGGTCAAGCTTTGTCACAGAATGCTAATCAAATACAAAATGGATTAAATCTCTTATCTATTATTATATAACAACAAAGTTCAGAGCATGCGATAAATATTAGCTTGATATATAACAAGGGACCATTGTTAGATGCAATTAAAATTTAATAGTTAAAAAATCTCAAAAAATAATTATGAGTATAAAATGTCATACCACATGAAGCGTTGTGTGCAAAAGGTATGAGATTTAGACTTTCCTGACTACTTGTGTTTGTGTCTATAACACCTGACGTCGTGGATAAGAATCACCAGCTAGTAGTAGCAGCAGTACCAATATAACCCTGGCCATCGTCACTCCATATACAGGGGCTTAGGCCACAATTTAAAAAAATATTTGTTTGCCCTCAACCAACCCAGGCTGAAAAGTTTGGGTAGGTCAGTAGGTAGGTAGGCATTTTTTAGGAGAGTCTTTTTGCAAATTCAGCATGGTGTCTACATGCTCGGGTGTGCTTGTGTGGAGATACCTTTTATGTTGAATGTTTGATTTGCTTGGTACATATAATGTATTGCCTACAAATTATAATGTACAGTGATAAGAAAAAAAAGAATGGGAAAGATCAATAAATTAGTTTGAGTCGGCCCCTTTTTGGCACGTCGGTCGGGCGAGGGCAAACAAACAATATTTTTATTACGGCCTTACCACTCTCTTCAGACAAGCTGAGATCGTCAGCATCTCCAGTCAGCCGGTCACTGCTCTCTCGCTGCCACACATCGTCGCTGTCGCTGTCCCGCTGTGACCAACTCTTCCTCGTCTGCCGCCGCTTTCCCGTCTGCCGTCGCTTCGGCTTCTTCGCCGTCGCGCGGCACCTCTCCTTCTCCTTCAGCGCATCCGCCTCGTGTTGGAGGCGAGCCATCTGCCACTCCAGATCCAGCAAGGACTCGATGTCCTGCTCAGCGCTGCATCCCGCCGCCGCCGCCGCCGCCTCCTCGCGCTCTGGCTCCTCCTCCTCCTCGCGTTCTGGCTCCTCCTCTGAGCCTCCTCCCGACGCATCATCCGCCTTTCCCGCCGTCACCTCCTCTGAGCCTCCTCCCGACGCATCATCCGCCTTTCCCGCCGTCACCTCGCGTTCTGGCTCCTCCTCTGAGCCTCCTCCCGGCGCATCATCCGCCTTTCCCGCCGTCACCTCGCGTTCCGGCTCCTCCTCGCATCCCGACTGCTCCGGTTTGCCTCCCGACGCATCATCCGCCTTCCCCGCCACCGCAGCGACTCCCCGCTTCTCGTTTTTCGTCTGCTTTCGTTCCGTCGCCCCCGATTTCGCCTCCGCTGCGTCCGGCGGCGTCTCGGCGACGTCGTTCGATTCTCCCTCCATGCGTGCAGTGTCCGCTGCGTTCAGGGTCGGCTTCCCGTCCGCAGACGTGTAGCCACCCTCAGCCTCAGCAAGCAGCCGATCGACAAAGTCCAGTGTCTCCGCGGCGCCGCCGCCGCCGTCCGTCTGCGCGCAACTTCGCTTGTCGTTCAGCTCGGGAGAATCCGACACCCTATTCAACTCGACGAAGCAGAGAAACGAGTTGTGGAACGCCACGGACGTTGCTCCCGACGCGTCGACGCGCGACGGAGGCTGCGCGGAAGGGGGCGGCGGCGTAGCCAGCTCCGCGAATTCGTCGTCGAGCGACGGGTCGTAGCGAACGGACGACTCCTCGCGTAGCAATGTCGCGCGCTTCAACTTTTCGATGGCCGCCGCCGTCGCCTTCCCGCTAGGTGGCAGCACGATCGAGGGATCACGTCGCGTCGACGGGTCGCCGGCCTGTACCTCTAGGGACAGATCGCTAGGTGGTGGCGTCTCGGCAGAGAGATCGGCCGGAAGCGCTTCCACGGACGAAACGCCCGGTGGCGCCGCCTCGTCAAACAGATCTAGAAACGGCGGCGCTCCCGTTGACGCACCGGTCGACCTCGCGCCGTGTTCCACGAGGTCGGTCATCTCAGTGTCGGCGCCGCCGCCTCGACGATCCTCTCTGCGGCCGTCGCCCGACTGACCGCTGCTGTGAAGCTCGCTGTCGCGGCGCATCGCTCGCGAGAGGCTGGCCGCGTCCGGCCGCAGCCGCACCAGCCTGACCGTCGGCTGCATCATGGCCAGCAGGTGGCGCTGCACGACGTCCGGTTCCGGCGGCGGCGGCGGCGGGGGTTCGGCAGACGCAGCCGCGCCATGCCGTCCGTCCCTCCGGCTCTTACTCTTGCTCTTGCTCTTTTGCTGCACGGCGGCGAGCGCGGTCGGCGGAGGCGGAGTCGCCTGTTCGTCGTCGCATCGCAGGTCGGAGAAGTTGAGGGTTCCGTAGAGGGGACCCTGCTCCTCACTTGCGACGTACGCGTCGAGTGTGTCCAACGCGGGCGCCGGGAAGTCGCCGTGGCTGGCGTCGGTGACGGTGATGCTAGCGGCAGCGGGAGGCTGAGGCGATGGCTGAGGCGGCACGAATTGTCCCTGAACGAGGATCTGCTCCCCGTCATGCTGCTGCTGTTGATGATGAAGATGCTGGTGTTGTGGCTGTTGTTGTTTTTGTTTTTGTTTTTGTTTCTGTTTTTGTTTTTGATGCTGCTGCTGTTGCTTCTTCTGTTGTTTTTGTTTTTGTTGTTGTTGTTGTTGTAATTGTTGTTGTCGCTGTTGCTCTTCCTGCTGCTGCTGCTGTTGTAATTGTTGTTGTCGCTGTTGCTCCTCCTGCTGCTGCTGCTGTTGTAATTGTTGTTGTCGCTGTTGCTCCTCCTGCTGCTGCTGCTGCTGCTGTTGTAATTGTTGTTGTCGCTGTTGCTCCTCCTGCTGCTGCTGCTGCTGTTGTAATTGTTGTTGTCGCTGTTGCTCCTCCTGCTGCTGCTGTTGTTGCTGTTGCTGCTGGTGCTGTTGTCCTTTTTGCTGCAGTTGTTTTTGTGGCTCTTGCTGCTTCTGCTGCTTTTTATGTTGCTTCTGCTGCTTCTGCTGCTTCTGCTGCTGTTGTGGCTGCTGCTGCTTATGCTGCTGGTGCTGCAGTTGTGGCTGCTGCTGCTGCAACTGTTGTGGCTGCTGCTGCTGTTGTTGCGTCTGCTGCTGCTGCTGTTGCTGCTGTTCTCTACTACTCCCTGATCCTGCAGAGCTGTAACCTGACTAGGGCTGCCATACCAGAGTTCTGTTCCTTCAAACAACCAAGCGAGCGTAATCAAAATCATGTAATCAATAATGACGAATGCTAGTAATCTAACTATTGATAACAACTGAAAACTCTACGAATGATTTGATTGACCCAAAATCATGCCAAACATATCCAGAGACCGGGTAGCAAGTATGGGTTGCGCAAAAGATGCGTTGTTCCCCGACGACGAGAGCGTAAGCCGCGACTTCCGGCGGACTCGGGCGGCACGAGGAGCGCGGGAATGTTGTATGTAGCCATCTCGCCTGCCCGTCTACTACGAAGTCGCGCGCGCGAAGAGGGCGGCGCAGGCGAATCCGTATAGCGGGCAAGGTAACATCGCGCAAGTTTTCGTCACACACGGGGCTCGCGCTATATGCGGCCTTCGTGGGCATTTATGCTGGTGTTGCTATCGCCGCGGCGTGGACGGAGTCACGACTGATAACGTTGACGATGACGTTCAAAATGTTCAACCTAACCGTAACCTCACATCGCAACACGCCCACACTACCCTCACACTACATATGTATGTATGCCGCTTTATATATAGCATTTGATCACAAAAAATTAATCTATGCGTGTGGGGACAGATATCATGATGCAAAACCTTAACCCTAACAACCTAATCCTAACCCTAACACACGCGAACCCTAATCTAACCCTAACTAAATCCTAACCCTAAACCTGCCCTAACCTAATCCAACACGTGCTCGCCACGTTGCCCGGTCACTCCCTCCACGCCCGGGGGTAGCATACCCCATTTGCCTGCTGCCTGCTGCCTGCAGCAGCCGCCGCGGCGCGGCAGGCGCGAGTTTTTTGTTGCTGTAACTGCTTTGCCGCGCGTATCCTACTTAGCACGCTGTAAAACTGCAAGCACTGAACACCCCGTGCCTCGCAGCTATTGCCCGCAATCCAGCGCAGGTGCTCGCACAGACGTGCCGTCGCCACGGGCAGCGCGCGCGAATAGCGTTGGTAATAGTGATCTAGTACAAGCCTCTGACCACTGCGCCGCTGTTGGAGCATATAGTAATATTGACCAACGGTGCTGGAATGGCGCTCGGCGGATTCGCGAAGAATTAGCTCGCGAGAGATCGCGTTTGAAGAATAGAGCTATCGCTGCGGCGCTACGCCGCCATCTCAGGATCCTCCCGCGCCGCCCACGTGGAGCTTGAGGGCACGGTACGACAACTTCGGCTAAAAGAAGATTCTTGTCCGATAGACATAACCGCTATACCTCCGCGCTTGCACTCAGCTCGCCGCGTCGATCCGGTAGGCTCTCTGGACGCCTAAACAACGAAGGCGAGGCAACAGTAGTCAGTGGCCAGTAGCGTGTCGCGCCCAGTGTTTCTGTTGGTGATCCATCCCAGTCGTCGAATGTGGGCAGTTTTGCAATTTTCTTTCTTAAAAGGGCTATTTCTATGTAGGAGTAACAGTCACTATAAGACTTTTTTTTACTCATGGATTTGGTACGCGCTTACACTTGAGGTTTAATTTTAAAGACAACAATTATAAAAAGGTTTACGGGGTGCGTTTGGGATTGGCGCTGCTTTTTCTACTGCCGGTCCAGCGCATAAAATGTCGCGTGATTTGCGCTGCCTAGTAGATTTTCTCATGGGAAGTAGTGGCGTTATTCAAGACCCCTGTCTCAGATATCTGTCTAAGCGGACAAAAAGGGGGCGGCGTATTCGCGTTGGGGCGCGGCTTCGCCGCGAGCTGTGCGCTGCGCGCAAAAACCGGGGCCGCAAGTCCGTCCAGAGTGGAACTGACATTTAAGAGTGATATGTACATACTTTAAATGACCACATATTTAAAACCACATATCGTGCTACACTACTATCGAATGTGGTTTCTTGCACACGCCTTGCAAACCTACCTTAGGGGTAGCAAGGGAAATGTTTTGATTGAAGTTTGAGATCGGCACTGACACTTTCTGCTGTGGCTGTTGCACCGAGTTCCCAAAAATACTGTCGTGTCTAAAGGCATTAGTTGCCAACAGATCAGTAGAACTCACCGGCTGTGCTGGAAACCTGCAAATGCAAAACCTTGAAAATAACTGTGTCAAGCATTCTCATCACAGATAGGACCGATATAGCATGTTTTTGTTCACGGCTGAAATAACATAACTGTAGTTCAAACTGGTTAATGTTAACAATAGTTTATTGCTGATAAAATTAACAAATGTACTATAATATGACGTATTAATGGTTCATATCAGGTCAGTTTCTGTTAATTTCCCATTTTTATTTTCCCATGTATTTCTTTCCCTACTATCTCATCCCACAGTATTTACCATCTCTTGTGGAAATCACATAAGCAGTTCAGAAAGTTGAAACTGACTCAATTAAAAATGCAGAATCAGAATATTTAATTAATAAATTAAAAATAAATTCAATACAAAAAAATACTCGCGGGTGGAATACCATCTGCGAGATAAATGCTGATAAATTTAATATGTGACGATTAGTAGTATATCACCTGTCCTGCTGTAGCTGGCTAAGCTGCGGTCCTGACTGACCCAGGTTTAGCTGGTTGTGGTGTAGTCTATGCTGGGTGAGAGCACTCAGTGGTGCACCACCGAAATCCATGTCTAACGCTCCAGCGTGGTCCTACAAAATCAGTAAACATTTAATCGGCGGCAAAAAGATAGGAGTACAAACGTCACGCGTGCACAATCTCACTTCAAGTGTCGCTGCATGATTATACGCATGATAAGAGATCACCGAAGCTAAATATTCTTCGATGTTACATCGTAGTAGCAAGTATTTCAAGATGTCTGTAAATAAAATTGTCCGAAGTGTCTACTCGGCTCTCACGAATGGACAAAAAATCAAACGTATGTAATTAAAGTGATAACGTCACGAATTTCTAGCACCATCAAGTAGTATATATTTGTGTGTTATTTGTACAAAATAAAATGTATGAAAATACAATTAGTGTTTCTGTTTACTTTTCATGCTTATATACCTTCTTTATATGCCCTAATTTGCCGGTGAAAAACCTGAAATCTGAACAGTACTGGGGGAATAGTGTTAGACAACAGAAATTACAAAATCATCTAGATTTTTGCAAATTTAACCAACGT